GTAACATCAGCTAGCTAATCATTAGATGTGCCGATGGTAGAACAGAGTGTGTGTGTGTGTGTGTGTGTGTGTGTGTGGTAGTGAGAACAAAATAGGGAGAAGATAGGCTATGTTCTAGAAACTTTAGGTTTAAAATAAATGAAATTCATCACATTATGAGCACACACTACGTGCCAGAATTACACTATGCATTTTACAGGCATGATCACACTTAATCCTTACAACGAACTGCGAGGCAGGAGGAGATTGGTCATGCTTACCATTTAGTCAGATTCATCACTGCCTCCCACCCAACCCCAGGGTGTGGAAATTCAAAATTATGTATTTTCTGCCTTTCAGGTACTTACATCTTAAGACACACTTAAGTCACATTAAGCCAGGTTTGGTTTCTGCCCATGGAGATAATGGCTATGCGGATGCCAGTCAGAGCCAGAGAGAGAGATTTGAATGGATTTCACAAGGATATGGAATATAACAATGGCCGAAAGTTGTCTTGTTCAAGAAGAAAACTGATATGAGATGGAGTATCTAAAGCTTGTGAGATTGTGAGTCAGGTGGTGCAAATGGAGGACTGCCCTCTGTGAGGGGGCAAACTGGCCTCTGGGTGCACCAGATTTGGTCACCCCTTTGAGGTCAGGGGTGCAGAGTAAAACATTCACAACAGGTTGTGAATGGAAAGCCCTCACTTGATACTCCAGCCAATTTGATCTTTTTTTTTATTGAATCAATTTGATCTTTTTTAATTGACTAATAAAACAAAGCCAACATTTACTGAGCACCGCAGTGTTCCTGGAACAGTGTGACACACGTTTCGGGATCTTTTATACTGTGGTGCTTACAGTCAGTGTCAGATTGGTCTTGCTGCGAAGTACCAAAAGCTGATGGGTCAGTTCTAGTCTTCTGGTCGCCTCCCAGCTGATGTTCCAGATTTTTTAAAGGCCATCCATGCTCTGTCCCAAACTTTCACTGGAGTAATCTTACAGGGTTTCAGTTTCCCCAGAGCTGTGTTTCTGCTTTCCTCTGGCCTGGCCTGACCCAGCCACCCTGCTACTTGGTGTCAGACCTCCCCAGTGCCAGCCGCTTTGCCTGCCTCGCAATCCACCTGGTTATCTGAATATTGCCCGCTTGCCAATAGTCTGTCCTGATTGCTCAGCTGCCTGGATGGCTCTGTTCCTCAGGCTGGACCATGCTGGCATGGTGTGAGTGCCCACCAAATGCTCCAGGTGCCATCCATTCCGCACTGCTCCTTGCCAGGCTCCCACCCAGCACCACATTTAATTCCAGTCCTGGTCCTAAATCTGGTCATTCTCGATGCCTTCTGATTTCTGGCTTTAGGGTCTTAAATTGCAACTTAGAGGCCAATATTCATTCTTGGTTTCTCATCTCCATAGCAAGGAAAGCTCAGCTCCGCCTGTAGGAGGGTGTAGCGAAGGCTTGGTAATAGTTGACCCTTCCCTTTGCCTTACTGTTTACTCCTCTCTGCAGGAAAGGAGTGACATTTTGGTGACATGGGGAGAAGCTGGCAAGCATTGAGCCATGTTCGCTAGGGAAGGAGCTGAATCCGGGGAGAAGGTTGACTTGGTTTCACTTTGGTCTGCCTGTTCCCCAGCCTGAACTAGACTCTATGCTCCCTGCAGTGTGCTGGCCATGTGTCTGACACACAGACCCCCAGGTCTACTCGGAGAGCCAGACGGAAGCTGTGCTTTGCTTTCAAGCCAGCAAGAAGCTCTACTTGAAGGAGTGATTGGGTTCTGTCCAGCCAGAAATAAAGCAGATGCTATTTTGCTCCTCTTCTGTCTCCTTGGGCTGTTCTCAGTCTTCTCTGAACCAGGAGGAGCAGGATAGGTGCTGACTGGCCTTTGCACACCACCTACAGGGACACTAGCCACACTGTGTTACAGTCTCGAGCTTTGTTCACGAGTGTAATACCACTGCTCTTTCCACCTAGAACACAACTCTATCGGAATGATCATATTCTACTTATGTGTATAGCAGAAAACCAGTTGGGTCAACCACAGGTGTGACTTTTTATGATCATCCCAATAGAGCCGTGTAAGTCAATTCCAAGTCCATTGTTTTGAACCATCCCAACATCACCTGATACTAGTAAAATGCAGAGAAAGTGACTTTTCAATAAACTGATAGTCACAGCTTAGTAAGCTACCTCCTAAATGGGTCACCAAAAATAAATCCTCGAAAGGAAGAGCTGCTGAAGCATGAATGATGCCAGCCTTTCTCCTTGGCAAGGCTGGCTCTCCTCCAGCCAGGCCCAGGTGACCTCAATCACTGACCACAAGCCATCTTAGTTAAAGAAAATCAGCCTGCAGTTTGGGTGGCTGGGGCTCCATCCAGGAAAGCTGCGGCGCTGAGAGCGAGCGGACACAAAGCCTGCTGACATTGATCCAGATAGTATCTGAGCTCCCGGCAAGAAGGAAATGCCACCACCATCTGCCTCTGTTTGTGATGACCTGGGAATAAATAAAAATTAACCTTGGCCCTTGAATGAATCATGGAGCTTATCAACACTTCCTTCAGTGTCTCTAATGACTACTGTGAAACAAGTTTACAATGGATTTTGGAGGGACAGGCAGAAGGGTCATTGTTCTAAATGGCTTTCTAACAGGTCTGGCACTTCCCACTGACTCCTCCCGTATTGTGTGCCCCCGATGCACTTTGCACCCTGTGTGGGTAATAGTGAAAATAAGGAGACAGTGTGTTTTGAACCTGGCAAGAGCACTGTGAACCCCTGGGAAAGAAAGGAGAAAGGCAGGCGGCCAGGCAGGAAGGAAAGAGGGGAAGGAAAAAGTGCCGGGGAGAGGGAAGGAATGACAATCGCAGTCTCCAGATGGTCAGTGCTGACTGATGGCTAAGGTGGGTATCCAGGGGGCTGCGTTTGGCCTCTACCCAACTGTCAATAAATAGGCCAGTCTCTGTCCTAGCTGCTCAACACACATTATTTTCTTTAATCCTCATAGCGGCCCCGGAGTAGGAATCCCTATTTTAGAGATGAGACTATAATCTCAAGAAATTTTACTTGCCTCAAATCCTTAGCTAGAGAGTCATAGAAGATCCAGGCCTTGAACCCAAAAGTGCTTGATTCCAAAATCCAAGCTCTTCGCACTATTCTGCATCAATTCTCAGTGGAAATGCCACGGGGCACTGGGGAAGAACTATTATTAGGCATTAACTTTATTTTGAACTAACAAGCTAGTCACTTAGCGAGGCCCTGAAGAAATGGAACAAGGTAGAAAGTCGTTTTGATTGGGTTAGGGGCTAGGAAGGGGGGCGGTGTCGGGGAGAGCTCTGTAAGAGCAGAGGGGAAACAGCTCGAGATTACGGGATGCTAATTTAAGCTTTATTAGTTCTGGCGTTTGCTGGACCTCTGAGCACACGCGGGCTTGCCTCGGAAAACACTGCCGCAGGTGCGTTTAGGATGTGTTATCAGGGACAGGCTGGGCCAGGGCCCTCTCTGCTGAGAGAGTGCACGTGTAGGAAAAGATCCAGGGTGTATTTTTCATGAACTGGTTTGGGCTGGAGCTCAGTCAATGTAGTTGTGTTTTTCTAAATCTGCATACCATGGAGAAAATGTAAAGAAGAAGAAAAAGCTGGTTTTGATCAAATCGCTTGTAAGAATACGCTTCCAGAAGACGGAGAGAATTGTGGGGCTACCTCCATGGTCACAATCAGGAGAAATGAGTGTCCCTGGGGGTTCTGATATCCAAATTTGATACCAATTTTCTCCTTTAAATGATGATTCTAAAGAAATATGTGCGAATACTACTCCCAGAAACCGCCTCGGCGCAGAGACGTGACGGCTGTTATATAATTGGAAGCTGGGTGTGCTGAACCAGCTATTTCTGAAACTTCTTTTGTTTTCTTTCACTAACATTGTTTTCAACAAAGGAGGAGACATCCCTTACATACTGACATATGGTACCTTCTATTTATAACAAGATTAACAATTCATTCACACCTTGATTGAATCCTGCTTTATTGAGATGTCACAACAGATTCTCACAGCCTGCAAAGGGAAAGACTTACAAATGATAATATTATGACAAGCAAGACACCTAAAAGGAAATGAATCATAATTGATGACAATTAGAAAGAGTTCCGCACAAACACAGAATCCGAGCGGTGATAGTAAGCAGGAGTCTCAGGATTTACCGCGGCAGGAGGAGGATGGCCACGGACGAATTCTGCTGAGTTTTCATTGAGAACTTGAGATCCCTTGAAACCTGCTACTTCATGACTTATTTTCATATTCACGTGCAAGGCACCTTCATGGTTTTAGGGTTTTAGCATCTGTTTATTATTTTTGGTCTGCAGCTTCACATGAGCCCCTGGTTTTAGAAAAATAGAACTGATGTGTCCTTTGATAAGCGATCTGGTATGATCTGGTCTGAGATGTGGAGGTCATATCTGACACCTCTTTCTTTGTTTTACCCCACACCAATTAGCAAAACAGCACTTTTTTTTTTTTTTTTCAGTTTTTGGCCAGGGCTGGGTTTGAACCTGCCACCTCTGGCATATGGGGCCAGGGCCCTACTCCTTTGAGCCACAGGCGCTGCCCAGCATAACATTACTTTTACTCTCTCAATATTTTCTGACTATTTCTCACCTTCCACTCTGTTGCCACTACAGATCTAATCTACGTTTTTTTTATTGTTTAGAATTCATTGAGGGTACAAAGAATTAGGTTACGCTGATAGCAGTTGTGAGGTAAAGTCCCTCTTATAATTGTGTCCTGCCCCCAAGAGGTGTGCCATGCGCTGTGACCCCCCCTTTCCCTCTCCCTGCTCCCCTCCATGTATTAGCTCATCTACTGCCTTCATATTAGAATTGAGTACATTGCATGCTTGCTTCTCCATTCTTGTGATGCTTTACTGAGAAGAATGCGTTTCACCTCCATCCAGGTTAATACAAAAGATGTAAATCTCCATCTCTTTTAATGGCTGAATAGCATTCCATGGTATACATACACCACAGCTTGTTAATCCAAAAACATGGAACACGTCACAAACTGGCATGTCATCCTTGGGCAGGGGCCATGCTAATCTTCTCTGTATCGTTCCAATTTTAGTATATGTACTACCAAAGTGAACACAGACCTCGTCGACTTTGTTTCACCTAAGAGCTATTGCTTCCTTCCTGGTCTGGCACCTCCAATGAATTACCCCTTGTAATCTTCCTAAAGGGCTTAACATTCCTCTCCGGCTCCCAACCGCTGTTAGAATAAGGGTTGAATGTACCTGAGTGGCAATGTGTCAGAGGAGACAGCCCACTCTGTCTGTACTTGAACCAGTACAAGTCCTGGTTCTATCAGCTGGGTGAGCTTGGGGAGGTCATTGAGCTTCCTTGACCCTCAGTTCCATCTTCTAAATGAAGATTACAGTAGTATCTAACTTATAAGAATTAACTACATATAAACGTCTTGGAGCAGTGCCTGACCTTGGGTAAACACCATTAAGTGCTAACTCCTCATTGCCTGGCTCAGCTCAGCATATGACAAGCCTTTCTCCTTCTGCTCTTCACCATCTAACCCCAGGAGCTTCCTCTCAGTTCTTCCACCCCATGCCCCAGGGCCTAAACATGGGCATCAGCCGTGCCCTCTCCTGAAAGGTCCTCATCAGCTTCTCCACCAGTCCCACCCGCCCTTTGCCTGGATAACTCCAAGTCATTTCTTCTTATGTCTCCGCTTTCCTCACAGCCAGGCCAGATCACAATGTTAAACAGTCTCCTCCTGCTCTCCATTTCCTTTTGTACCCTTTCACACAGCCGAAAAATAGCCGTACTTATTTTTTGTGGATAATGCTTATCTCTCTCCCACTAATGAAAGCTCTGCTGAGGACAGGGGTTGAGTCTATCTTGTTTACAGCGGTTTCACCTGGTCCTTAATTTGTTGGATGAGGAAATCTACTTTATACTGCCTCCCCCATTAACAGATAATATTAGTTGACTTGATGTGGTAGGCAGAATAACGGCCCCCCAAAGATGTCTACATCCTAAACCCTGGAACGTGTGAATATGTTAACTTAAAATTCAGAGTGACTTAACCATTGTGACTATGGATTTTGAGATCATTGTAGACAAGATGAATGGATCCAGTGTAATCGCAGGTGCCCTTAAAAGCGGATGAGGCAGGCAGGAGAGTCGGGGTCCAAGTGATGTGATACAAGAAAGACTCAACCGCCCATCACTGTCTCTGAAGGAGGAAGAGGGCTGCCCACCAAGCCACGTGGCAACCTCTGGGAACTGGATTCTCCACTCCAGAGTCCAGAAGAACCAGGACTGCCAATACCTAGACTTTAGCTCGGTGAACCTCACTTCTAACTCTGTCCTCCAGAACCAAGATCATAAAATAAGTGTGTGTTGTTTTAAGCCACTGGTAGCGTCACTTGTAACGGCAGCAAGAGGAAATGAATAGGTTTACCCGAAGTCAGAGAACAGCCACGGCCAGAATCCCTGTTCTCTCCACTACGCTACCCTCCCTCTGCCACTGCCTCCCAAGTCTTGTTGGTTTTCCAATTTGCTTTCGTCTGTTTTATTTTTTTATTTTTTCCAGAGGAAGAAATCATTAGAGCTGCAGCTGCTTACATGCAAGAGCATGTGCGGGAAGCACGGATCCGCAGATGGGAGCGTGCGGGAGAAGGTGTGCGGGATTACAGAGCTCTGACCCACCTCCCAGTGGGACCCCAGGGGAGGGCCGAGGGCCCAGGCCAGCGCCACTCACACGCCCACCTCCTCCCTCTGCAAGGCACAAAGCCTGACAAGGTCTCGCTCGCATTTCAAAGCGCTCTCTCTTTTCAGAGCTATTTGTTATTGTCTCTGCCATCACAAGTTTAAAAAAGGAAAGTTAATTAAATATGGAACAAGACTGAGCAACATCTTTTAAACCATCATGTCATTAGAACTGGAATCCTTAGAGAGCTGCTTAAAAGGGGTTTGAGAACAATGACTGTTCAATCAGATATTTATGGGCATAGTTATGTAAACACACTCTTTATTGTCTATGTATATTTAATATAATTATCAGTTTTGTAGTTGGACTCTCCAGAGACCCAACAAATCACAGTGTTGCTTTGAAAATGTCAGCAGAAAAGACAATTATGTTGCTAGCAAATATTCATAAATTATATTAAAAAGTCCTGTGGAAATGTCCCCTATGTTGCAGAATCCGTCGCGGTAACTGAATGGTCCTTTTATTTCTTTGATTTAAGGGCGATTTTAGAAGCAAGAAGGTTCTTTGTGAAACCTTAAAGAGAGTGGCAAAGGAACAGGCCAACCTTGGAAAACAAAAGCATGTGCAAAAGACAATCCATTCGTGGTTTCCTCTTTGCTGACTCTATAACGGGTCTGCGCGTGCACACATCCACGCAGGTACATGCAGACACCTGCTCACAAAGCCGATGTGCAAATTTTATTTCTTAAAATATCCCATTAAAATGAGAAAATAAATTCAATCTGTTCGCTCTCTGAGTACCACTTAGAGCCATAACTCTTTCCTATAGCATTTTTCTTTAGAAACTATTTATAGTAGTTCCCATTTTTCCTCTCTTATCGTTTTTTTTTTTTCTCATTATGCACACACGGAAATAAGTGGAGAATTGGGAAACTGCTCAGTAAATTAAAATGCACCAGGCTCTTGCTAAACCAATATGAGTGGTGTAGGTTGATAAACACCTCGTAAGCATTCACAAATCACTTCTATTGCAAGATATACAATCTGCAAATCAACATCTTAATTAGCAGCTAATGACATTTGGAGGGAAAGGTTAATGTTAAGCACACAAAAGCAGTGTGGTTAAAAAAAATGAGATTTTTCTGCCTTCTTCTTATAACAAATGTTTTAAAAGGAATGAAAAGTTATCCCACGATTATAATGGGTGTTATAAATATACATGTATTGGCAATTTGAAGCATCTTAATAATATAGAGCCTGAATTGATACGCTACCTCTCATCTCAGGAATCCAAAGCCCTTTGCCTGTATCTCATTTATCCTCAAAATACCCCTCTGAGGGTAAGTATCCGTAGGCAAAATGAAGTGGAGAGTTGAGGCAATTATCTACATAATTCAAACCCACACCCCTGTTAATGAGGAATAAGTGGAGGATCTGACGAGATTGAATTTTCCTGATTGACTTTCTATATAGATCAAATTCCCTGGATGCTGAGACATTTTCGCACTGCACTGTCCCCAGGTAGACAGTCTAAGGAGGCGAGCGCGTGGAAATCAGTCACTTCATTTTAAAAGGCTGACCCTGAATCACGTATTCAACCCCATCTCTCCCCAGCTCGGGCCGCCTGGGCTCCCACCGCCTCTCTGGCATCACAGACCACAACTAATTCCCAGCTGGTCCCTGCCGCTTGCCTTTGTCCCTCTGCTTTCCTCACCTGAGATCCTTTCCCCTGCTCCTGAACACCTGTCCGCCCCTTTCCTCCCTGCAAAGATTACCTTGACCTCCAGCTCTTCCCAGATGCCTGCTTTGGCAAGGAGGCATCTTATTTATTTTGTTTTATCTTACTGATGCATTTGGTTGGCTTGCTGGCAATCTGTACCATAACCATAGACAGAGGTGGTTATCTGTAATTTCGTTTACAGTGACATGAGCCTCTGCTGCCTTCCTCTTCCTCAGCGTGTCACCATGTCTCTCCAGGTGCGGCTTGGGTGCGTGTTGAAGAGCTGGACATAGGCACATAGGACTCCCCCCACTCCTAGGTTCATCACCAATAGGCTGCAAGGAATTGCCACTCCGAGGGCACAGTCATCCTCTACAGGTGACCACTGCCCTCCCTGTGGCTGGTTATCTCCAGTGGTGGACACACTGCTGCTCTTCATTTTCTATAAACCCTCAACAGTTAATGAGATTTTCCTGTAGATTTGCGGGCAACTGAGTGAGCTCATTATAGACAATGCCCTCAAGCATGACCCTATTCCTGTGCTCGAACCTGGTGTCCGGGTCCACAGTGGCCCTCCCTGCAGTGCAGCAGCAGGCCCATGCCCCTCCAAGAATGTGCCCTGCCTCTCCAGGACCCCCTCCCAGGAGCCAGGGGCTGTAGAACGAGGAGGATGTTGTTCTCCTCATCCTACTCTGGGCCCTGCCTCCTAATTCTGCCTTTCCTGTCCCAAGATACTGCTCTTACCAGAATGGTTCCCAGTGGAATGTTTATTTCTTTCAAGGGAAATTCTAGCCCAACCTGCGGGGCCGGGATTGGCACTCTGCCCCACCCGGGGCTGGAGACACAACCTCCAGCCACACCTACATTTCCTGACCCTCAGCTTTAGCTCAAATCCCTTTCAATTTCTTAGCCAGAGGATGACAAGTCCCAGGCCTTCATACTCTGCTTCCATCAGCCCCGCAGCCCCGAACATACCTCTTGAAAGAAAATCACAGAACTCCAAAGAAAACACAACATTTGGAAATGGGACATTCTATGTTCATAGCTGGAAAGAGACATTTCTTTGCTAAAAAATGCATCTATTTCATTCATTATGCCCAGGGTCTCCCGAGAGAAGGACACGTAGGAGATTGCATGCTGATGGGGTGACTCTCTTCATTGACGTGATAGCAGTAGATACAGGTAAGGCCTGGAAAAGTGGGGGAGAATCTGTCTGCTAAGGAGAGACCAAGCAAGTGCCCCAATCTCATGGGTAAATTTGTCTTTGCAAGGGGACAACAGGGCATCAAAAATATTTTGCTCTTATATAGTATCTTCCTCCCAATAGCTCAAATTATATTCCTGGCCATTGCTACAGTTATCCCCATCACCCTGCTATGATTACTCAGCACTTCCCACATTTTACAGGAGCACAATGCCGGTGACTTATCCAAGGCTACAGAATAAATCGGTGGGATTGACTTCCAAGAAAAGGCCCCAGATTACCTTTCTATCCATTCCATCCTTTCATACAGGGATTGAGCCAGACTAGACTCAATTGTCAATATATTGCTTTTTAATCGTTTGCGTTTGTCTTCCCACTAGATTGTGGATTACATTTATCAGAGTCCCGGGGGGGCAGAAAAGATGCACAAATGCCCCATGAAATGTTTGTGGATGGAATGTTGAATGCTAATGTACTTGCTCTTGAAGCCCGTGGGACCAG